TTTTGTATGCATTGAATGTACAGAAAACAAATTTGTTGGGCAGGGGTAGGGGGAGGCAGAGAGCTTGCTGGGGTTCCTGTAAAAGTACCTCAAATTAAGTGACTGGCATATCAGAAGTTTCTGGTCTCATAGTTGGGAGGTATAAATCTGTTTATGATGTCCGCCTAACCAGTTTATTGCAGGGAATCTGTCTCTAAACAAAGTCACATTCTGAGAAAAGATGAAGTTCACAGCAGTGTTTTATTAAATATCCAGATAGAGAGATAGATAGGTAGATAGATGTAAATACATATGTGCGTACATACACACACATATACTGCGTGAGCAATGGTGCATCTCACTACTGTAGTAACAATCATGGTGCCCTGATTCCTTTAATGAGATGTGTAGCTGAGACCAAGATGGCTGCCCAGAGGAAATAAGTATAGCAGAAAAGGGGCCTAAGGCTAGCCCATCTCCATTAACCTCTGATTTGAAAAGGAAAGAAAAGGAAGAGGATGAAGTTGAAGTGCTGGCCTGCCACTTCCTGTGGCTCTGGGGACTGAGGGGAAAGAGAATACAGGGGTCATGTTGGGAGCTCTTCCTGGGCTCCAGAACCTTGGAACTCAGGGGAACAGTTGGATCATAAAGAGTTAAAACTCGAGGTGAAAGTGGGGGGTAGTGGATGAGACCCAGTGCCCCAGGCAAGATAGGACCATTTTCACTAAGAAAGGTCAATTCAGCAGTGAGTTTGGGACTGGGACAGAGCTTTAGTGACTCTGAGGAGCCGTACTGTGGTGCTGCTGTGGAAGGAGCTCTTGTAGATGGAAACTATGACAGCCACTTCCCTGACAAGGGGCCAGAGTACCAGTGAGTGAGGTCTGCTCTAAGCTCTGTGTTGAAGGTAGATGTATTGGTCTCCTGTCTATGTGCTGGTTTATTTCTGGACTTCTCTGTTTGCCTTAATGCCAGCACTTACTGTTTTGATTAATGTAGCTCTGATGTTTTTGAAATTGAGAAATATCCTCTGTCTTTGCCCCACTTCTTCAGGAACGTTATTGCTTTATATAGGACCACTGCTTTTTTATATGAATTAAAGTTTTTAAGTTTATTTATTTTACATGTATGAGAGTTTTGCTTGCATGTGTATACATACTGCGTACAAACCTGGAGGTCAAAAGAGGGTGTCAGATCCCTTAGAACTTGAGTTATGGATGGTTATGAACCACCTTGTGGGTGCTGGGAACTGAACCCAGGTCCTCTGAGAGAACAACAAATACTTTTAACTGCTGAGCCATCTCTCCTATTCCATGCTTGTAATATGAATTGTAAGATGAGCTTGACACTCTCTTGATAAATAATGAATTGAAAACAGCTCATTTGGGGACATATGTCCTCTGGTTCCTTGCTCATGTGTTGCATGTACTGAAATCATAACAGTGCAGAGACTAGCACTGGCCCTGAACAAAAATGGCTTACATCCATGAAACTTTGCTGAGTTCTAAAATGAAGGCTATGGAGTATTGTTTTGTGGGTGTGGGGTGCAGCTCCGTAGGAGAGCATATACTTAGTGTGTCTGAAGCATGGGTTTGGCTACAGGCACTAAAAAGGTTTTGATCTTTTTATTTATAAACATCGAAGTCTTCCCATTTATTTTGGCTACTTTTAATTTCTTCAGTCTTTTGTAGTTTTCAGAGTATAAGTTTTGTAATTTGTTAAATTTATTTTTTAAAATGTTAATTTTTCTTTTGAGAACTATTGCAAATGGAAAATTTTAAATTTAGTTTTGTTCTTTGTCACCATGTAGGATTGCAAAGTATTTTGATGCTTATTTTTATCCTGCAAGATTACTGAGTTAATTTATTAATTCAAACATGACTTTGGGAATTCTTTAAGATTTTCTATATATAATAGCATTTGTGAGTATATTTAATTCTACTTCTTCCCTTATTTGAGGAACTTTATTTCATTTCCTACCATATTGCCCTGTTTAGACTCTCCAGTAAAATCAGTAGTAAAACAAGGAAAAGGGGCATAACTATCCTATTTCTGACCTTTGAGGGACAACAGCCTTTCACTATTAATTAATTAATTAGTCAGTTAATTTCACCACTTACTGATGACATCAGCTACGTATTTTTGTGGCTACCATGCAGAAAGTTAAAGAAATCCCTTGCATTTTCAATTTGTTGTGTATTTTTATCACCAGGGATGTTATATTTTATGTGATGTTTTTCATCTGTTGAATTTTTTTGTGCTTTATTGATATGATGATTGTTTTTATTCTATTACACCATCCTTGCACTCTTGGATTGAGTCACAGTTGGCCGGGTATGTGTACTCCTGAAGTCTGGGTCTGCTTGCTGGTGTCTTGTTGAGCGCTTTCGGGTTCATTTTCCCTGCTGCACACTTTCTTTCTCATTATGGTTCATCTTGCCTTAGTCATAAGGTAACACTGGTCTTATCCTAGGGAAGTATTCTCTTTATCTTCTATTTTTTCCCAAGTGTTTGTGAAAGATTGGTAGTAATTATGTGTTAAATGCTTGAGAATTAGCTAGTGAAGCCAGCATTGGTTGTATCGTTCGTTGGTGTTTGTTGTTGCTGGAAGTTTCAAAAGAAGCAAATCAATCTTTTCTTCCTGTATAGACTTCTGATTATCAACTTCCAGATAGTTTTGTGAGATTGGTTGCCTCTTGGTACCTGGTTTTAGATAATTTGTTGACATATAGGTCACAATCTTTCCTTATTATTTTTTTCAGTTCTTTAAAGTCAACAGTATCTTTCTTTATTCTTGATTTTTAGTAGTAAGAATTTTTGTTGTCATTGTTTTTTAAAACAAAGACTCTCACTGTGTAGCAGCCCAGCTGGCCTCAACTGCTCCCTCAGCTTCTGAGCTCTGGGATTACAGACTCATGCCTGGTGCTTAAGTCTTTTTCATGGATCAGTTGATGTAAAAGTTGCCAATTTCCTTCATCTTTTCAAAGAATCAACTTTCGGTTTTGATACCTTTTCCCTTAAAAAAAATTCTCAGTTGTCCTTAAAGAGAGTAGAGGCACGCAAACTTCTTTCCTGTGTTCTTTGAACATGGTGCTATATTATGTTCTGACTTAAGCCATTTCCAGTGAGAATAATCTACGGCCCTTATCCTTTTCTTTTTCTCTTTGGTGTTCTGTATGAAGTGTGAGGGTCCCCTTTTCCTGTAGGGACTCACTAGTTTATCCTGGATTGCGATTGGCTGGTCCCAATCTCTAGTGGGTCCTCACAAATTGACTTGAATTGTTGTCTGGTCCCCTCTCCAGTGGGTACTCACTAATTATCGTGGATTGCGATTGGCTGGTCCCCCTCCCCAGTGGGTAATTACTAATTATCGTGGATTGTGATTGGCTGGTCCCCTTGCCACCAGTGGGTACTCACTAATTATCGTGGATTGTGGTTACCTTTCTTTCAGACATTTTGGATAATCCTCAACTACTTAATTTGGCTCTTTCATGTAAAGTTTCTGTATCGGGACATTCTCCATTTCTTCATGAATGTTCCATGAATGCTCCACACCATATCCTTTAACAGAGTAATTATTTTGTATTTGTATTTGTCTGTATGTCTATCTGTACACCACATGCATGTCTGGAGTCTACAGAAGCCTGAAGAAGGTGTTGGATCCCCTAGAACTGGAGTTACAGGCAGTTGTGAGTGTGCTAAGAACTTAATCTGGTGTTTTTAGCTGCTGAGCCATCTTTCCAGCCCCTAATCACACTTATTTTTAAACTTCTATGACAATTCTAACATCTGGGCTATTTCTGATTCTGATTCTGTTGCTTGCTTTAGTTCCTGACGGGAAGCCTTTGATGGTGCTCCTCATTTGTCTTTTCAAGTTTTTACCCACCAGCTTTCTTTCCAAATGCTTGCTGTGGTAGGGCTTTGAAGCTGGTGTGGTCAATAGTTGGTCTAGGTTTGTTTTTGCTGGTTAATTTCACTAAATGGCGTTCGGGTTTTCTGGTGGTTTTTACTGCCCTGTGTTAGTGTAAAATTTAGAGTATTAAAGTACTAGAGGGTTTTCATGAGACTTGATTTTTTTCTCAGATTTCAGCAAGTGCACCTGCACCACAGCCAGATCCCTCTGTGATCTGGGTAGATTTCTATTGCCATGTCACAGGCTTGGTGAAGACATGGCGATGAGTTCTACTGCGGCTTTAGACTCGGGCAGTCCTGGTACTATAATAAGTATCAGAGTTTGTTGTTTGTTCTTTCTCTCTCTTTTTATTTCTTTTGAGATAAAGAATGGAGGTTTGTTAAACTCGTGGTTCTGAAAGGCTGTGAAGTTCAATATGAAGGGTCTGGCGTCTGGTGGAAGGGCCTTCTAGTTGTATCATAGTGCATCATAGTGCAGAGAGGGCATCGCAGGGCGAGACAAAGCTGGTGTCGTAGGAAGGATGTTGTGTTCCTCCATCTCCTCCTGCTTATCCTGTCTTCCCTCTACAACTGAGAGTCAAGAGCTGGGAGCAGGACAGTTGATATTAGCAGACTTGGCACTGCTGTTCTTGCAGGGGACCCAGGTTCAGTTAGCAGCATCTTATGTGGCACCTGGCTCACAGTTGTCTGTAACTCCAGATCTAAGGAGCTGATGCTCTCTTTTGGTCTTCAGGGGCATCGGGCACACATACATACATGCAGGGCGTCCGTCACACACATAAAACAAACAAATCTTAAAATATAATAATGATAGCAAACTTTTTGCCCCCCAGCAGCAGTGTTTTTTTCTATCCTTATCTTAATAGCGACTGTCCTTGTTGTGACCAGACAGTGAACAGTTTCTATCCTGCTGCAGCACACAACTTTGTTCTGCTGCTGCTGCTACTATTCTTGGCAGCACTAGGTTTTTAGTTAGCAGGATCTTCCTGTGTCATATTTTAATGCTGCCGTAGATGGTAATTCCAGATTAATTAAAAAACTTGAGTTTTTAGAGCGAATACTTTACTGTTTGCTTTGTATTATAATGTACTGTTCTGTGTGCTCTTTTTCAGCCTCGGCTTGATCTCCGATTCTTTCCACATGTTTTTTGACAGTACTGCCATATTGGCCGGATTGGCAGCCTCTGTTATTTCAAAGTGGAGAGATAATGATGCTTTCTCTTATGGGTAAGACTTTAAAATACTTTTCTTGAGCTACCAGATACACAGAAAAATGTACGGCTCTTATGTTCTGAGTTTTTACAAGTGAATTTCCTTGTGTGATCTGAGCTCTCGTAGTCCTTCTCAGGCCTCTCATCATCCTTATGCACCTCCCTCAGGGTTACCTTAAACTTCCTGGATTACATGTGTCTACTCTAAAAGTATATAGAGAAAGGAAAAGGATGGGGGAAGTGTGTAATTATATTATAATCACAAAAATAAAAGAAATAATTTCTTAAAGTGTGTGATTGGAATCTATAATGTAACTTTATTCATTTACAGAGTCTTTTTTTTTTTGACAGATAAGCCTTTAGTTTTACCAATAGAATTTAGGAGATACTTTGTTGCATATAAGGATTTTCTCATAGCCTATTTTTGACAAAGAAAGCCATATGAAATTGATCATATTTCTTTTTTATTGAAGAGATACTTTTCTGTTATTTATTTAAACTTATTTCATAACATGGTCTTACTTGTCTCTTTAACTTTGCTCTTATGTGTGGTGATTTCTGTCTCCCCCTGGTTTGTACACTCAGCCACATTCTATGAAGGGACCATTGATGAACCAAATTAGAGGCTGAATTAGCTTCCTGCCCCCACTGACTTGGGAGGCAGTGGAGTTTTCATTATTTGCTTTAAGCTTCCTGATGCTTCCTGTTAGTGTAATTCTGTTCACATGTAAGCAGAGAGGAGGACTGATGTCCTTTTCCACCTTTCTTGTGCATGCCGAGTCCTTCCTCTGTCCCTGCTTCATCCCTCAGTGCTTCCTCACACCTGCTCTTCAACTGCTCACGCTCACCTCTCCCCACTCTCCGCCTGTCTCTGTCTCACTTTTCCTTACACCCTCAGATCTTCACGCTCACCACTCCCGCGTCCCTCCCTCCTTCCCCGCCCCCTCCCTCCCTCTCCACCTGTTTTCTCCACATACTTGAACGCTCCTCTTGCCTCGGCTAACTGACACACAAGACGTACTCAGGCAGTTCTTTTTTCATAAATTACATGTTTTAATTCTAAGACTCACTCTCTTCGGGTAACCATAATCATCTGTGATCATTTGTCTAGTTTTCTTCTTCTTCATTTTAAACCTACAACCAGGCCCAGTAATATACTAAAGCGAATCTAGCAATTTATCAGAATGCATAAAACATACTACCCAGCTAGAAATTAGGAACCAAAGATGCCTAAAATATTTCTTGCCTTTGATCTTGAAATTCAGTGAGCTAAGGATAAAAGGCTTTCTGTCAAGCATTAACTATGGGACTGAAAGAAGAGATTAAAAGAAAATGATCTTTTTAAAAAAACAATAATCCTACTGAATTAGTAGATAAATCCCTTTTAAGTGTAAAGTATAGAAAACTGGCTGTATGTTATTTGAATTTAGTAAACTTTGCTCCAAAACAGTTTTGGAGAAAATTTTGACAAGTAATACATGGATTTAACTTACTTATATATATTTGAAAATGGAGTATAAAATTCCTATTGTATCAGATCTACGTGCTAGGATGAATTCAACATAGCTGACGAGAGGGCCTGTAAAGACTTCCTTCAGCCTGTCATGGTTGCACAGGGTTGTACCCCTGGATTTGAAAATGATTTCAAGACCTCAGAGGCTCCATAGTGAGTTTCAGGGCATACTGAGAAGGTCTCTACATTATCAGAAAAGAAAAAAATGTTTTTATAACAAAAAAAATGTCTAGAAGTTGACATAGAAAGGCATTTAAAAAAACAAACAAACCAAAAATGGATTCCTTATATAGTCTAGTTGGCTCATAACTTATAACCCTTGGGCCCAGCTTCTGTGCTGGCAGTGCAGGTGCTGCCACCACGCACTGTCTGAAGAGCAGACCTGATGCTTCGTGGTGCTGATGAAGGACTAGCTGATGTGAGCATACTTGGAGTTAAAGTTGTTTCCGTGGCTTCAGGCCAAACATGCCTTGTGGAAAAATGAGCTCTTTACCCCAGTGCTTCACCTACGTAGGAAGCAGACACCTTTGGACACCCAGAGACAAGGGTTGGGCATTTAAAAGTGGCTTCATAGAATAGTGTGAAGATAGAGTTAATTCTAAAAATAAATAGCTAAAAGTTTAGTCTGAATATATTAGTTTAGAAAAAGATAATAAACTTGAATCTCAAGTTGTTTCTGACGTAATGCAGGGACACTTTAACCTCACCTGAGGTCACAGCTCCATTTCCTGAAGATTTCGTCGCCAGAAGGTACGGAGCAGAGCAGGAATTCTCAGGAAGGAGAACAGCTACAGTAAAAACCCGATTTCCTAGATATTTTCTCTTTCTTTAGACCCTTCCTTCTTTGTCTACTTGCTCCGTCTTGTCCTCTCTACAGTGGCAACTTAAGATTTATATTTCTGTGGCTGTCTAAGCCCACTAACTATCAGGAGGTCTTTTGCCTCCTGGAAGTTTATGTGTTTTGAGGTGTTCACTGTTAAATATAATTCATAGTAAATTAATTTGCTCATCCATTTTGTAGTAGTATATAAAATTTATTCAATAAATATGAAGACTTGTTGGCACTTAAAAGTCATGCAATACGGTTTACAGTCTGAAGCATGTACATTCATTTGGACTTTAAGAAGTATAATTCACTGTACCTTGCTCTTCTTTAGGTATGTTAGAGCGGAAGTGCTGGCTGGCTTTGTCAATGGACTGTTTTTGATCTTCACTGCTTTCTTTATTTTCTCAGAAGGAGTTGAGGTATGTTAGATAATCATGAGAGTCAGGAAATGCCTTTTAAAGATGTAATCATCATAGAGATCTTTTCAACTATCATTTATTGAGATTTGTCTTGGATTAGAGAAAATATGTGTGTACAGGAGAACTTATGAAATAAGTTATATATATATATATATATGAAAAATCACATATATATATATATATGAACTATCTTGCTGGAAACAATGAAATGGCAGTGCTCTATAATCTGAACTGCTACCACTGAGAAGTAGAAGTGCATTCTGGGTAATAGGTCCTTTAGGAATTATCTTAAAAACATCTAGAACCTGAGAGTTTTGCTAGTGAATATTTAATACTTGGTGTACATTTTCTGAGAGCGGAAGGAAACTGAAGATGGGTAAACTTACAGAGAGCGGGGGGGGGCAGTTTTGAACCACATACCGTCACACATATTTACATCTAGTTCGAGACAGTAACTCTTACTTTTCCTGTGATATGTGAACACGAGCTTCAGCTCGCTCAGCTCTAGGCGGGTGGTGTTGAACTCTTTTACTTCTGAAAATAACTAAAAATTTTAATATTGCATTATATTGCCAGCAGTTTCAGTCGGGAATTTTATCAATGCCGTCTCTTTGTATTGTGTGTTTTCTAGAGAGCGCTGGCTCCTCCGGATGTACACCACGAGAGGCTGCTGCTTGTGTCAGTTCTTGGCTTTGTGGTAAACCTCGTAGGAATATTTGTTTTCAATCATGGAGGTCATGGACACTCTCATAGCTCTGGTATGATGGTTAGAACTCTTTGTTTCTTCATGTCTTTAACAGTTATTCGGTGTGTGTGTGTGTGTGTGTGTGTGTGTGCGCGCACAAAGCTGGTATTTGGCATGTGGAGGAGCATCCAACCTTCTGTTTGCTCGCCAGCGTGGTTGTTCCATATCCTTTCTTCTCCTTCCACCTTTTGTTCCAGAAGCTTCCCCCTTGGAACAGATTGTAGGCAAGATGTCAGGCCACATTGTGTGTCCATGCTCGTGTGTATTATGGGAGTTCAGCAGGTTGTAGGCAAGATATCAGGCCACATGTGTGTCCATGCTCGTGTGTACTGTGGGAGTTCAGCTAAGACCATGAGTCAGCTTGATATCACATCTGGACAGCAGGAGCCCTGTCTGTAATTCCAGCGATTGGGAGTCTGAGGCAAGAGGATTGTTAGTTCTGGGCCAGCCTGGGGTACACGGTGAGATCCTCAGTTCTTGAACTTTTTGCTGCCGGCTAGAAGACCCACCCGAGTCCCTCTCTCAGTGCAACACGCTGGTGCTAACTGCCGGGAACTAGAAGAGGACCGAGCGTGGTCTGGGCTCTCTCCTGAGGAGCTATTGGTATTTGACGTGCTGTCGTCATCAGCTGTGCAGCAAGGAAAGGTGGCCTTCGAGATTTCCTCCTTAGTTTGGCTTTCACCAGCTGCGATATCTCTGATATGACTGAGTTTATTCTACTTGGACTTTGATGGATTTCTTGACCATATGGTCATCAAGCGGGTAATTTTCAGCCATTGGTTCCTATTTTCCTCTCTCCTCCTCTTGTTTTCTAGAGACTCTGCCTCGTTTCTCTTCATTACCTTTTTTTTCTGCTTTGAGAGCGTGATCTCTGTTTACCTTTTTGTACATCGGCTGCAGCTGCAACTCAGAACTGCTGCTGAGCTCTTCCAGGGCCTCTGCAGTTCGCTGTTAGGCTCTAATTCCAGAATCTCTGGTATTTAAAATTTTTTGCTCTTCTCTCTGCTCCCCCCCACACACACATTTTTGTTGTTTTGAGACAAAGCCTTGCTATAGCCTATGCTAGCCTTTTAATTGCCACCCTCCTGCCTCTGTCTGCTGAGTGCTCAATTGCAGTCATGAGCCCATAACTCGATTTTATAATTTTTATGCTGTTATTGTTGTTAACTTTCTGACCTGGTTTCTTTTTACTCATTGAATATGCTTGTAATAGCTGGTTAAAATCTGCCTACCAAGTCCATCTCTGGAGCTCTTTGGAAGGATCTTCAGTTAGCTGCTCTCTGTCTGTGGCATAAGTTCCTGTACATTTGCTAGGCTCCTTCCTTGATGAGGGCTGGACACTTTAGATTACCTGGCATCAAATTGTGTCATCCCTTTAAAGTTTGTTGTTTCTGGAGTTTTGTTCCTGTGTTACTTTTCTTTTGAATCTTTCCTGGACTGGTTGACAAATCGTGTGTTTCTTGTAGGAGGTGGCCATTGAGTTGTCGGATAGTTTTTATTTTAAGATTTTCCTTTTGTTTTTCTCCTGTCTGACAATTGTTCACACTTTGACTGGTATGGCTTAGTAGTCACCCAGAGTGCAGTCAATTTCCTTAAATGACTTGCTTGTAACTCTCTCTCTTTTGGCAAAGGGATCTTTGTGAGAAAGTAGTACATCTTACAACTCTGCTTACTTTGTAGTTACCAGAGAGCCCTAGCTTTTCTCTCCTGCTTGCTTAGGGTGTCAAGGACAATGAAAGATGAATGGCAAGTCCTTTTTCAGGTTTGTTTTAGGTATGTACGTAGCCTGTGCACACGTAACCTGTCCACACATAGCCTGTGCACACCCTTATAGATTCCTAGGAGTATGTTGCTGCTTTTCAGAGTTCCTTGTGCGATCTTCCTCTCTGAGGTTTCTTGAAGTTCTTAGAAGTCTAGTGTCAGCAGCTCCTTACTGCTGGGAATTTCCCACTGTTGTCTTAGCGCCTGAAGCACAACTGAACCCTCAGCCTAGAAGCTTCGCTAGGAGACTAGAGACTGCCAGTGAATTGCACCGGTGGACAAAATACTGGATAACCAGTTGGTGCTTTAACAATACACCCAAAGCAACCTCACCTCCCTGTTATCTACAGTGTGGTGACTTTGGGTGATTTTGCTCCTAGGCTGGGAAGGGAAGACTGTGTTCCTTAACAAGGCCTAGTAGCTGCTGGAGAGGATGACCATCCGTCTGTTCTGCGCATCTCACTGATTGCCAGAGCTCTGGCATGGTGCTTTATTACTTGTTTCTTCTGTACTTTTGTGACTTAGGGGAGGGGGAATTGGCTGAGATGCTCTTGCAGCCTCTGGAAGGTGATCTGGCATGTAGGTCTCCTGGAGATCCTGCAGGATTTGCATTTTCAGGCCTTCAGAGTTTATTCCTGTGCTCAGTAGTAGAACTCAGGATTGCTAATAAGTAAGTTGGCAGCACATTTTAGAAGCAAGTGTTTTCTGCATTGACTCTGGAGCCAGGATTCTTCAAACTAGTATTATTGTAATCACTTGTGTATTTTTGCATATCTTCTGTTCACATATTGTTTGTTTTCCAGGCCATGGACACAGTCATTCCCTCTTTAATGGTGCTCTAGACCACACCCACGGCCACGAAGATCATTGCCATAGTCATGAAGCCAAACATGGAGCTGCACACAGCCATGATCATGCTCATGGTCACGGGCACTTCCATTCTCACGGTGAGTGGGGCCAGATGACCTGCAGAGGGCTAGCCTTCCAAACAAACAAGATGTGTGAGGTGACTATTGAAAGGACTCTTAAGCCTCCAGTGAGTCTGTTTAAATGGTTCCCATGTCAGTTTCTTTTTATTGTACTGTAACATGAATGTTAAGGCAGTGGGCTTAATTTTTTTTCTTTCTCCCCCCAGTGAATATAATAATAAAACACTAGGCTTTTGATTGTATGAATGAGAAACGGTTGAAGTTTAGCAAATGAAAACTTTGATTGTTTTAAGTCTGACAAGGCCATTAGTAAATAATGTTATGAAAATACTAGAGATTTTTCAGTTTTTATTATAACTTTTTATGCTAACTGCCTAATATTTTGTGTTCATTCAGAAATCTTTATGTAATAGTAGTAGATACTAAGTTATAGCCTGTTTATTAACATTTTATTTCAGATCATTTAGTCACAAGTTGAGAGTATAAATGAATAGGAACTGCTTAGGTAACACAATCTGCTTATGTCTTAATTAAATTGTGCCCTTAGATGTTTATGGCACTGGCCATATGGATGGAATACTAAAGCTTTACATATGAAAAAAATGAAAAGAGCCTTGAAGATTGAACATTCTAACATCCTAACATCCGAGTTTTGCAGTCTTCCCGTTTTCAAAATACTGTGCTGAATGTGGCTGGTGAGCCAAGTGCTGTGCACATCCAGTGCTCACGCCTGATCCTGGACCAGTTCACCCTTGTGGAGCTGTTTCCTCAGTCTGAGCTGTGGCCCTCACCACCAAGCGCTCCTCCCACCTCTTTATTATTTATCCATGATTTAGATTAGAGCACAGCATGAAATCTCCCCCCTGACAATTTGAAGTGTACAGTACAGTGATAACTGTAATTGCTCCAGTGTTTACAGCTCTCTGGGCCTTATGCATAAATAATATAACTTAACCTTTTGCCCTTTGACAACTACTTCTCCATCCCTACAACCTCCAGCACCTGGAAATGGCTGAGCTCCTCTCTGTGTCTATGAATTCGACTCTTTCAGCTTCCTCATGTAAATAGTAGTTCTATTAATCTTTCTGTTTACTCACTTCACATAGCTGCCGCATTCATCCGCGATGTCCCGAATTGCAGCTTTCTCTTTTAGAAGGAGGACGGATGCCCCATTCCTCAGTCAGGCACATTAGGGCTGTCCCCTGTCTGGAGTGTGGAATGCCACAGTGCACTGAATGGAAGCACACCTAGGTTTGGGGGTCTGGGCTTCAGCGCCTTCGGTTGTGTGCCCAGAACTGGTACTGGTGCCCAGGTTGTAACCACATACTACTTTTTGTGTATAGTGTATAAGGGTTGTCTTTTCCCTAGATGCTCGTGTATCTACAGGTATTCCCCATCCCACTGGTCCCCCTGGACAGGGTTTTCTCCACCTACCTGTTCCCGAAGCCTCTTATAAAATAACCACTCTGAGGTGTAATATTAATTACATACTCTTTGGCCTTTTAGCTCAGGTTTCTTATTAACTAACTCTTACATCTTAAATTAACCTATTTTTATTATTTTATCTTTTACCATGAGGCTTGTGGTTTGTTACCTTACATCTTACTTCTTGGGTGGCTATGTGGTGACTGCCCGACTCTACCTTCTTTCTCCCTGCATTCAGCTTAGTTTTCCTGCCTAGCTATATTCTGTTCTGCCTTAGGCCAAAGCAACTTCTTTATTAACCAATGGCAATAAAAATATTCACAGCATACAGAGGGGAATCCAACATCATCTCCCCTTTTCTGTCTAAATAAAAAGGAAGGTTTTAACTTTAACAGTAAAATTACGTATAACTAAACAGTTATCAAGCAAGAATCACAGTTACAATCTTTAGTCTATTTGTATCTGTCAAAATAAAAGAAAATATTCTATTTTATTTTTGTGAGTCCAAAATTTTATATCTAATTTATTTTTTATCATAACTAAGGGAAACTATAACATTAACTATATGTCTTTAACTCCACCAAAGACCCAACATGGATATAATATTACCTAAGTAAACAATAAGTGCATTTAAGCAACCTCCACAGTTCTAGAAATTGCAGAGACATCTTGCTGCATGGACAGTAACCCAAAGTTCTTTTGTTTTGTTTGGGCATCCATCTTTAGTCTACAGTCCCATGGTATCTAGCAGACTTTTCCATGAAGTAGGAAATTTGAAAGACTGTTTCACCTCTACTGGCAGTTTGTGTCCTGCACAATGTCTGGTGGACTCTTTCTTGGAACAGGAGCCCTGAAGGACTATCTCACCTTCTTTTGACAAATTCAGCAGTCAGTTTTTTGTGGGTCCTGTATGTTCAGTTTATACAGTATACCTAGGCAAGCTGTCTAGGCAAGAGCAGTGTCTTGCCCACATGGCTAGCAAACTCCTTAAGGAGCCTCTTCAATGCCCATCTTCCTCATGAAGTAATTGGTGCTATCAGAAACAGACATGTTTCACTGTCCAGGAAAGTCTAAGTTCTTAAAAACTTTTAGTGATATATCCATAGGTCTTTGAAGTGTTGAAGAGTATTTATCAAACTGAAATATATCTCTATATCTAGGAAAACCTAACATGATTACAAGTTTAACTATTATAAATGACTATTAATCTATAATTTTAATTATGCATTACATTTTGAAATGAGCTGTATAAACACAATACCTTAAACAAGAGTAGGAATACATGTATACGGTGTAACAAAATTGACCTTAAATTTGTATCAGTGGACCAAGATCCATACTAATGTAAAGTATTTATCTCTGTATCATGCTTGCCAGTACTTTTTTTTTAAATAGTCATTAATCTTCCTAACAATTTTATTGAAATTCTTATTTGAATTTCCCTGCTGAGTACTGGTGTTAAATATCGTTTTCCATACCAATAGGTCGTATTTCAGTCTGACAAATATTTTCCTTTGAATTGTTTGAGCTCTTCATATATTTTCGGTATTAACAATCAGACATATAATTTGTAGGTATGTTCTACATTCCTAAGGTTACTTTTTCTTTTTGTTGTTTGCTTCCCTTGCTGTGCAGAGGCTTTCTAGTTTGGAGTAGTAATCCCATCGGTTAGTTTGCATTACTTCTTTTAATCTATAATATGCTGTGTTTTGAAACAGTTACACTGGCAAATCTGAAAACCTGATTTTCCAAAATTTTTGCTCACATACATTACCCCAAAATAATTTTGAAAAATTGCTTATCCCTTACAAATTTATAACATAATGTCTGAAATGTTCTTGCAAGTATTAATTAACAACTAAAATTTACTCATTTGATTTGACCTTTTGAAACAGGGTCTCAGTAGGTAGCCCTGACTGTCCTGGAATAACCCCAGGCTGATGCCATTCTGTCTCTGGCTCCTTAGTGATAGGTTTAAGTGTGCTCCTAATAAATAACATTTTCGGGTGAAACTTCCGTGTGAGTCTTTGACTTTGTCCTAGTTGGCTTTCTGTTGCTGTGATAGCACCGACCAAAACCAACTTGGGGAGAAAACCCAAGCCAAGCAATGTAATTCCAAATCTTGTAGCTAATGTGTGACATTCGGGACTCACTTATGATCTTCTGGGCTCAGGTGGCCCCACTTGTCCAGCTCTTTCATCACCATCACACATAGCTTGTCTCATACGCTCAGGCCTGCTCCTCTTCACACCTGTTACTGTCCTGTCAGATGTCTCATTGGCCTGGCTTCTCCAGCCTGCTGGGGGTCTCTACTGGAACTGAAGTTGTTTCTTGACCGCCTAATGGTTTATTCTCATAGACCACAACCCTGTCACATTGTGCCAAGTCTCAGCTTCATTCCATAACCCCTTGGGTCTTCATCCCATAAGTCCTTGGGGATAGCTAAGGCTGCATGCACCTTCACCAGTGGTGTCCCTGCCCTGTCACAATGCCAAATCAAAGCTGCTCTCATTATTCATTTAGTCCTGTAGTTTTTATGTCACCAAAATCAGTAATGTGTGGAAACTTGGCGTACACATTGCCAAGTTTTGTTGTCAGGTGTGTCCTGCTCAGGACAGCATCTGTGTGCTGACCCTGAGGAAACCTTCCCAGATTTCATCTCTGATGGTGGTCTCTTCGTAGTCAAAGCTGATTCTTCAGCCTTAGCTAACCAGCATCAATTATTCCAGTAAAGCCACAGTTTCAGTTCTACAGATTCTTAATCCAAAAACATCACACGACGATCCCAATAATGTCTTACTCCCCACTAACTTTCAGAGATCTCCACGGCCCACACTTCTCTCATCAGTTTGATCTTCCAAGCTCCTGTAACAGTGGAAGCTCTGAGCACTCAGCAGCCTTTCCAGCCCAAAGTTACAAACCCTTCAGCAATCTTCCCTAAACATGATTAAGCCACAATTTATATCCAAGTTTGTTTGCTAATGCTGTGATAAAGAGCAGGAGCAAAAGCAATGTGGCAAGGGAAGGGTTTATTTCCCCTTACAAGTGACAGCTCATCATCAAGGGAAATCAAGGCAGACACCCAGAGGCAGGAGCTGAAGCAAACATCCTCAGTGAATTCTTGCCACCTTAGTGACACGAGGCTCACTGGTCAGAGCCATAGAAAGCTATAAAGCTCCCACCATCTGATTTCTCATTTTTTCCCCATTTTACTGTCTTTCCAGAATGTACTAATGGAGTATGCTTGTATGCAGCCTTAACTGATGATCTTTCATGCATCTTAGCAATGAGATAGGAATATAGAGCTGGGGAGATGGCTCAGTTGGTGCACAAGGATCTAGTGTGGTCCCTAGCACCACATAAAAAGCTGGGAGAGCGAGAGGTGGTGGGATCTCCTGGAGCCCTACCCCAGGTGAGTAGACACAGGTGGATCCCTGCAGCCCACTAGTCAGACAGTCTAGCCCAGTAGATGGGCTCAGGACCAATGAGAAACCTTGCCTCCAAAAGTAAAGGTGGTGTGCAGTTGAGGAAATCATGAATGTCAACCGTGGGCCTCACACACATCTGTTCATACCCATGCCACTGTGTTTACACATCACATGCAAAATTAATATAAACCAACAAATAAACATGACCATAAATTTAAATCTGTTTTTCTCTATGATCTTTATACTTTACATTCAGTGATTTCTTTTAGCCAGAATTATTGCAGTCATTAAGTACAAAGCAATTAAAGTAGTTTTGTCTCAAATTTTGTTAGTTATGAACTGTCGAAAGACAGCATTTTACTTGAAATACATTTCTAAAATGAAGTTCTTTCTTCCCCCTGTTCTGTTGGCGCCTTTGTAGTGAGCCTGCACGGCTTTTCTGGTCACGACAGAGACGGGTACGAGGTGGGCACTCATCGGCCTCACTGGCCATTCGCAGGGCAATTATTTCTGGAGTTTCCAGCCTGGGACCCATGGGGCTGCATGAAATGTCTGTGGAAGTATTCCAACACAAAACAGCAAACTGAGAGCTTTTGTTTTCTCTTTCGGTGTGGAGCTTGATAATGTGGTTCTGGAGTATGAATTTTACAGGTGTTAACATCCTGTGATAGTGGGAAAAGGTTGAACATGCCTCACGGACTGTGAATTTAGCTTATGCGTGTCACTCTTGTTGATCCTGGACAGCTCTTTTGCTGGGAGAGCCGTCACGTATGGGCTTCAGCACAGAAGCCTGCGGCAATGCACTTGACTTCCATACCCTTGCCCTTCAATGGGCAGAGTTTCTTGTGTCACATTGGTTTTTCTATAGAATTCTAGCACAGCTCTGGCACACAGGAGCTACTCATTAGATATTTATTCGGTTCCCAAGTGCTTATCTATTATTTATACTGTGTTTTAAATTGCTGGGTAAATTTTTACCCAGAGTTCCCACTCCCACCATACAAGGTTTAAATATGCCTTATCCAAAGTGTCTGGGGATTTTTGATTTGTTTTGTATTGGGGGTATTTGCAGTAGGCTGTACTAATTCACTATCTCTAGTCCGAAGTGCAAACTGTCCCCAAGTCTGGAAGATTTGGAGTATCAGCGTGGTGTCTGAACTCCAGGAGTTTCAGAGCAGAGCAGATCTTGAATATGGCTTCTCAATCAGGTTTGGAAACAAAAGAAAAGAAAAGAAATCTGATTCTCTTTGATATGATTAATTGATTACAGGAAGAGCTGGTTTTTTTCCTAACTTACTAAGAAAGGCTCAGTATGTACTGCACATATTCTAAGAACTTTATATGTGTTAACTTTTGCAATTTTCTCATAATCAATTGAAGGCTATAATAGGTGTTGTCCCCATTTCTTTATTTAGCTGAGGCACAAGTAAATCACATGAAATAATAAATTCAGAAGCTAGGATATCAGGCCAGTCAGATAGCTCAGTACGTAAGGGTGCTTTCTGTCAAGCCAGATAACCTGAGCTCAGTGCTCGGAACCCCCCTGGTGGCAGGAGAACAGCTCCCTCACGTTGTCTTCTCATTGCCACGCGTGTGCGCGCATGCACACAGATAAAGGAATGAATAAGTGAGACAGCTAGGGTTTAAATGTCAGATCATACGGTGGGATCCATAAGAAAATGGGCCTCAGTTTTTTCTTGCCAATGACCCCTGCCCATCTCCCTGAACTTTGTGTTTACTGGAATGCAACACTAGGAGGGAGCTGTGTTGTTTTTTAAAGCTCTTAAACCAGTGGTGCAGAAACTGGGAGCTTCTTGTAGCCCTGGGTGGTCCAAGTTTCTTCTCTCTAGGGCATCCTGTCTGCTGAATCGCTCAGTGGCTCCTCTGCTGGTCCTGTGCACCTACAAGAGGCTTGTGTCTTTTCCTTCCTTAGCCACACCTTGCCGTAGTGCAGCACCCCAACTCAAGGAGCTGAGGAAACAGTTAAGCTGTAGACTCAGGGGTTAGCCGACTCCTGCCACAGATACCCCGAACCAAGAGGACTTTCACAGTTAACTTAGTTGGAGTTGACTTTTATAACCATGTCATTGGACTATCCTTTTTCATAATACTTATGTCAAATGATTTTTCTTTCTTTTTTATTTTTCTTTTTGGTTTTTGGAGACAGGGTTTTTCTGTAGCTTTGGTGCCTGTCATGGAACTGGAACTAGCTCTAGTAGACCAGGCTGGCCTTGAACTCACAGAGCTCTGCCTGCCTCTGCCTCCCGAGTGCTGGGATTAAAGGCGTGTGCCACCATCGCCCAGCCCAAGTACCTTTTCTAGAGATATTTCATACATGCAGAAACTTGGTGATTTACTCAGGAGCTCAGTTTTTCTAATGGCTCTGCTTTTGACTGTCAGTAGGATTTCTGTGGCAGCGGCATCCTTCAGGAGAGTGCCTGGGACCATGGAGCATGCTGTGTCCCCTGTTGCTTTTGTGTCTTTGCTGCACGGTTGCCCGGCTCTACTGCTGTAGTGGTCAGGTGTGCTGTCACCTGCGAGTCACCATGCTTCACATTAGCGGGGCTCGTCTGGTCTCCTGATGGTCCCAATAAACAAATACTGCAGCCTTTTGTCACATACGTGTGTTTGTGTTTCATTGCAAAACTGCGTGGTCTCTGATGTATTAAAAATATAGAAACTTTGCTATTTTAATCATAAGGAGAATGTTTTCATTCTGCAAAAGGAGTTTTGTTAAGAGAATGACACCCTCCCAGCATTAACCTGTTGAACACGTCATTGATCTAAAAGTTTGAAATTCGTTTATTATGCTTGACAGCGCATGGGATTATGTCACATATATTGTCCACGTTCCGCCTCATTCTTTCCCACGAAGGATGTTAGCAGTGAACCTGTGTGCCTTTACATTAGTGTTCGCTTGCTGACATAGCTCAGCTGAAATACTGTGCCGCTCACCTGGAGACTCCAGGGCACATCTGTGGCAATAGCTTTTCTTTTGCCCCTGTGGACAAAAAATGCTTCGGGCTGTTAATGTGATAAAAGGCAGGATTTTAGTAAAGTGTCTGTCTGTCTTCTGTGGAGAAAGTGGTGCCATTATATAGAGTCTACCGGAGGCTGCTGTCACTCCCACAGGCCGCAGCTTGGTATCAGTCCTGCCTTTCGTTCATCAGTACAATGTTGTAGATTTTCATAATATTTTGAATTTCTTGTGATTTTTATTTATAGTGCAATAATATCCAGAATTTTCTATACTCTTGTTATATTTCAAAATTGCCCTCTCTAGGTTCACCGCTATTCAATTACTTGATTAAATTTAAACATCACTTTGTAGGTCTGATATGACTGTATACTCACACCTGCGTCATACACTTGAGCAAAATGACATCTGAAATCAAACGTTTGGATCGGGGATTGAAAAGATGTTTTAAAATAACTTAATTCTCTACAGGTGGTCCGTCCTTCAAAGAAACGGCAGGACCCAGCAGACAGATTTTACAAGGTATGACACGCAATTATGTTTTTCTTGATTTTATGAAACTGGCTTCATAGTTCTCAATTGTTGAGAGTTCTCTGTTTTTCAAAAAAAATTAGTACCTGGTAGTCATATTTTAAATGTTATCCCTTCCAGGAAAGCACACACACACACACACACACACACACACACTATATTGAGTATATTAGCAATATTTTGTCACTTGGCTGTTTTCTCAGATTTAATTAACACAAAAGCACAAACAAGCCTGCTAAAGGTAAGTACTAGGCCTGACTCCAGGGGCTCCAGCTATGTTTGCTTTCCTAGGATTAAGACAGTTTGTCCAAGAATAATGTTCAATAATTTTTTAAGTTTTAGGGAAATTTAGAGCTAAAAAATGAAATCCAGTGAGACCTTTGTCATATGTGAAGGCATCAATTAATGCTGCTTAAACAGGAGCTCACTGTTGTGTGGACAGCACCAGCTAGAGCAAAGCAGCCTGTGCGGTCTGCTGCCTTCCTCTGGGGGTCTGAACCAGTCCTTCTCAGTTTCCCTGGACTGTATTGTCCAGATTCCCGGCTTCCCGCTTCTTGCTTTTGTTGTTATTAACTCTATTTCAGTCTCTTTTTCTCAGTGGCTTTAGAGCCAGCCTCTCCTGCATGTGTTTTTCTCAATATTTCTTGGTGTAATTCTTACTTTTTGTGTTTCTTCATAGGGAAGATTTAGTTTCAAGGCTTAGGCTACCCGCTAGTCACCAGTTTTCCATTTACAAAATCTATGAAATCGCTAATCGCTATAAAAACAGTCTTTGCACCTGTTTGATGCAACTGTATCAAGTGCTATCATTAGCTTTGATAGTAACTTACATTTAGGTACGGAAAGTCATAAATGGGGGGAAGCTTGATGTAGCCTTTTATCGTCTTTTGTACAAATTATAATGAAAATGAGTTTATATTTCTGACATCCATGAGTTTGTGGGTCTCAAGAAGGCTGAGAGGCAGCTGATGGCAGCTGTGCCTGCCTGGTAGAGGCGGCTCCTGCCAGCTGCTCTGCAGACGCCAGGCATGAGCACTTTGAGCCAATGCAGTTGCCACCCTGCTTGCTCGTCCTCAGTTCAGCTTCTAGCGAACCAAGTTTTAGAGGTGTTAATTCATTGGTGTGTTGCAAGTCTTGCATGGTTTCAATTTTATATGCGTTAAACATACTTTATATGTCTTTAGTGATGTTTTTCATGCATAGTTTCAATAAAATAGGGTAGGTAATGATTTGTGCTAATAAAACCCACTTTCTGGCTAGGAAATTACATGTAGGCAGGGACTTTCCAACCTCAGGGGAAGCAAGAGCAAATTATTTCCCCCCTTTTTTCATTGTTCAGAACTATTATTCTTTGTTCCTACCAAAACACTGATTGAAGAACATGAAAACTTAGAACTATGCTATCATGTTTAAGATTTTGTAATGTATGAACTTTCAAGGGTATTGATTTATATCCATCTTTTTCATTTATATTTTTTAAAGCCGAAGTGGTTTTGATACAAATATATTTTATTCATTTGGTATTTAAAGTACCGTTGGGAAACTGGCTATCTAGACGAATTTGCCAGTGAACTATTTATTTGTTGGAGAACAGCTCTGGGGCTGGTGAGGTGACTGTGGTGTACGGACACTTGCCACCTAGCCTGACACCCAGGTACAGGCTTCAAGGCCCTCGTGTTCAAAGGCGAGAACTGACTCTCACGAGCTTTCCCATGCCCTCCACACATGTGCTGTGGCATGTGCGTACACGTACACACACATCCGCACACAAATGTAAAAATTTCTATAGAGTAGTCTGCATGGATTAAAACGAAATAGAGGGTGTGAGGACCAAGTGCCATGTGCCATGGCCTGCTGTATGCTACATGGTGGCAGTGAACTGTCTTTTCAGCAAACATTAGGATTTAAAGGGATTTGATTAATAAATATCCAGAGACAGAAATTAGAGTTCAACCTGAAGGTCAGAAAAGCAAAACAGCCAGCCACTGGCTCTTACCTCTACCTCAGTCTGAAATGGCGATCCTGCCTCCAGGAATCTCAGAATGAGACTGTGTGAGAGCTGTCTCCTCCCATCTTATATTCCTCTCTGGTGCTGGGATTAAAGGTGTGCACCACTGGGATTAAAGGCATGCATCACCCGGTTTCTGTGGCAAACTAGTGTGGCTACTGGGATTAAAGCTGTGTGTCACCACTGCCTGGCCTGTAAGGCTGACCAGTGGGACTGTTTTACTCTCTGATCTTCAGGCAGTCTTTATTTATTAAAGCACAGATGAAATCTCACTGCAGGGACTCACTGGTGGCCAGAGTTTAAGCTGCTACAGAATCTCCTTTAGTTTAAATCTGCACATATTTACCTTCTATTATTCAGGGAATCTGGCAAATTTCTAAGCTGCTCAGTCCCTGTGGAGCGGTTGCTGGTGCTGAAAACTAATGGTTTTCTCTGAGTGAAGCACACGAAAGTTTAACGACTGTTTTGCTGTGTGGTGTCTTTTGCTTATTAAAGATCTCCATGTTGAGTGAGTTATTGTCAGGTATTTTCAGAAAGAATCATATATGAAGTTCTCCCCTGAGATCTTTATGGTTTTCCAGACCAGTGTCACGTATCTTAATAGTGTATTTGAGCTCTTAAGCAGTTAGCCAGTGACCTACTTAGTACTTAATATTGAAGAGTAAGCGTATATTTTCTAGATATTTAAAAGTATTCGGATACCTGCTTTTTTTCCATGGCGAATTTGAGCGTAGTAATAAATTTAGGTAATGAAACTTTTTGGGTAATTATAATCAGATTATGTTAGGGTCCATATGAAATTCTAGTTCTGGGCAGTATTTTAACCACCAGCAGAGGGCGCCATGTGTATATGTTTTCAAAATTAAAATGCTTTCTTAACCAATTTTTTTCACATGATGCCCTTTCCTTGCCCGAACCTTTGTCCTTTGTAAAATAAAGGTGAATGTCATAAACGGTGTTTAAAATTAATTTTCTCTACTCTTTCAGTTGCACTATTCTATTAAGATCAAGTATAATACTAGTTGTTTGTTTGAACTGGTGGTTGTGAGTGGACTTCTGTCAGTTCACAAGTACTCTGCTCTGCCATCAATCGCTAAGCCGCCAGTACTCTTCCCGACTGAGTTTCCACATTGATGTGTAATGTTTCGTGTATGGAAACATGAGTATAGGCCTAAGAAATGTCCCTGCTCTATAATTTTAATCTCAATGATGTTTTCTTTCTAGGCGTATTCTTACACATTCTAGCAGATACACTTGGGAGTATTGGTGTGATTGCCTCTGCCATCATGATGCAGAATTTTGGGCTGATGATAGCAGATCCTATCTGTTCGATTCTTATAGCCATTCTTATAGTTATAAGGTAAGTGGCATACTGTGTTAGTATCTGTGTTAGTATCTGTGAGGGAGGGGGCAATTCAAAACTCCATGATTGGACATCTACAGTGCAGGTTATCATGTGGGCTTTCCTTTGGGATTTAAAAAAATTCCTGTCCAAATTCTCTTTTCCTCTTTACATTTTCATGCATTTTCCAGTATGGAATTTTAACATTTCTTTTTGGTTTTTGGCATTTAAGCCTTTGATTATAATTCAAATCTTAACCATACACTATAGCTATGAAATAAAATAATAGCAATATAAAGTGCATTAGCTAGTATATTATAGTTTATATCTAGATGTGACAATGTCACACTCTAGTATCAATGTTACCTCTGCTAGAACTATCTTGGGTTATACAGTTTCATTCTTCTTTTTCCTCCCCTCACCTGCCATGAGACTAGGGCCTCATAAACACATTGTGTGTAGGGACGTACATCCTCTGACTGTTTGCTGCAGTGTGCTGTGTAGCTAATATTATTATCATCTCAGACCCTTTGTCCTAAAGCAAACTTTATTGTTGGCTTCATTTTTATTTAAAAACATTAAAACGTTTTTTTATCTTGCAACATGTAATAATTTTAAAATTTGCATGCTGCGTCTCAGAGCGCTATCATTTCTCCGCACCTCCGCTCTTAGCAGAAGTTTTTCTAATGAAGTGAGGACTGATGGGGAGTGAGACCGGAATGACTGTCTGCAGCTCAGGGTTGACGAGGGGCGATGTCATAGATTGCAGTGCTAAAGTTAGAAGTGGTTGTTTTTCAGTTTCTGCCCTAAAAATAGAGTGTTTATTTTAAACATGCAGATTATTCGCTGATTATCTGCCCATGGAAGCAGGTGGCGTAGGGAAGCCTTTCTCAAGCTCACCATGCCCCTCACCTTTGGAGTCTTAACCGAGCTCTCCCATGTCAGTGCGGATGTGGCAGACCCCTGACCAGCCTGGTGACGCCTGTGCCTGCCTGGCTGGCTGTTGGGGCCTTCGGTGGCCTTTTACTGTATTGTGTGTTACAGCCCTGGTTACTCCTGGTGGTTTCGAAGAGTACGCTCTTAGCTCTTAGCGTTCCCTTTGCTCTGTCTCTGTTTGTCACCCAAGTTCTGCTGTGGTTTGCTTGGGAAACTGTGGTGGCCTCTTTGTCCTCCTGCCTCCTTTTACTTCTCACGCTGCAGTGACATTTCTTTGGGGATTGTGTGACATACTGCAGTTGTGTTGCTTTCAGGCCTTCCCTACTCTTTATCTTGGAATAAAGTTTAAGATCCGTAATAATTCCCTTCCCCTGATATTGTTTAATCCTGTTAGCCTCTCCCTTTTCCCCTCCTGCCTCACCTCAATTTACTCTCTCTTCTCCAGTGACGTCACTTTCCTGACTTATTTTTAGTTTCATAAATACAGTATGAACACTCTGCTCTCCCATTCCCGTTTTCTCTTAGCTCTTTTCGCATTTGATACATGCTTTCACAGGTGTGTGTACCCCAACTCCACATCCTTCCCAGAAGCTTAGTCCAAATAGCAGCCCTTCAGGAGACACGGCCCGCTTTGCCTCCCAAGCTGTGTGCAGTCCTTTCCTCTAGCTACTTCTACAAAGCTCTTCACCGTGCTGGCCCGAGGCCGCCTCATGCATCTCTGCAGCTCTCTGAGGGCACACGGCTGTCCTGTTACTCTAAAGTGACCCTATGCTTTTCCTGCCTGTAGAGAAATTGGCACACTTCAGATTTGAGTCAAAAGAACGTAGGCTTTTTTCATTCTAAAAAGTTATATTTTCTAGCCGGACGGTGGTGACTCAGCCTTTAAATCCAGCACTCGGGAGGCAGAAGCAGGCAGATCTCTGTGAGTTTGAGGCCAACTCTGGTCTACAGAGCAAGTTCCAGGACAGCCAGGGCTGTTAAACAGAGAAACCCTGTCTCAAAAAAGCAAACATAAAAGTAAAAACAAATATAAGAGTTATGTTTTCTAACTTAAATTGAAAATTTTTTCTTTGTTACATTCTTATTTATTCTACAAACAAAATAAATAATAAATAAATGCATATATGCACACAAGAAACTTATCTCGCCACAAGTCTAATACATTTTTAAAAATCTTTAAAGGCCATCTTCATCAAGTAGCCCATGATCCCTACTCTTTTGATCTTATCTTGCCACACGGGAGAGAAAATCAAATCAATAGATCCGATATGAAATGATTATTTATTGTGCAGAACTAAGAGAGGACATCATGGTAGTCTCTGAGCTGTCACCTGAGGTTGAATAAGGCAAGTCTGCAACTAAATGTCACCAAAAGCTTTCCAGCCTAGGGATCAGTTGCTTAAAAAAAGCCACATGGTTAAAAACAGCTGCCCTAAAGGAGGCCCAGTGTGGCCATAGCCCAGGGGCAGGAGGAGAGTGGTTTGGGATGAAGCTGAAGAAATATGCCAGGGAAAATTACAGGGCTCCGAAGTCGGATTTAATTTCCAGTGCAGTGGGAAATCATGAGTGAGCCTTGGTCCATATGTTCTGTTTGTGCTGCTGGGGACCAAGCCAAAGCCTGTGCGTGCTAGGCGAGCACCCGTCACTCATCCACATCCTCTGATGTACATTACCCTGATTTGTATTTTTATTTATTTTATTTTATGTGTGTGAGTGTTTTACCTGCATGTATGTCTGTGCACCATGGGTATGCCTGCTGCCTTGTGGAGGTCTGAAGGGCTTTTTGGAGCCACTGGAATTGTAGTTTTAGATAGTTGTGAGCTGCCAGATGGATGCGGGGAACTGATCAGTAAATGCTATTAGCCACAAAGCTGTCTCTTCAGCCTCCTGATTTGAAGTTTTAAAAATGGTTTTTAGCTGGACATGGTGGCACCCATAATCCCAGCACTTGGGAGGCAGAGACAGGCAGATAGATCTCTGTTTTAGGTCAGCTTGGTTTATACAACAATCAACCAGACCACATAGTGTGCTTCTGTCTCCAATAAATTAATTAATTGGGTAAAATAAAATAAAGAAAGATAAAAAGAAAGAAACTATTTTGAATGAAACTGAGGGTGCAAGGGGTACCGTCTAGAAGCTGCCATAATAAACCAGGGGAGAGGCATGGTAGCTGGGTCTAATCTAGCAATGGAGAGATGCCAATAAAGCCAGAAAATGGGGTAGAACTAGTGAGATTTGCTCACGGATGTGGATGTGTGGGTCAGGGTTAAGCAAATGGGAGCTGTGGCAATGCTTAGAGCCCCTGCCTGGGATGGACGGAGGTGTTGTGTTGTCACTGAGAGGAGACTATAAAAAGAGCAGTGTTTCCCTCCCTTTGGAAGGGCACTCTGGTCGGCGACCGTGTTCTGCTCCTTGCTGCTTTGGAATGCTGCAGAGTTATTCATGTGGAGACGCCCAGTAGGCAGTGGCTGTGTAGATACAGGATTGTATATGGATAACTCTTACATATTAATTTAACCTATTTCTAGTAATCTGTGTATTACCTGGTAAGGCTGTGGCTTACCAGGTAAAGTTGCTGCATCTGTCTCTAGTAGGGGGGGGAGCTACATGGCTTCTCTCTGACTCTACCTCTTTTCTCTCAGCATTCCATTTAGTTTTCCCTGCCTAGCTCTGTTCACCTATAGCTCTGCTATAGGCTCAAAGCAGTTCCTTTATTAACCAATGGTATTCACAGCATACAGAGGGAATCCCACATCAGTGGATAACTGCAGTCCATCTGAAGGTCATTCAGCAAATGCTGTGGTACCTACTCAGCTGGGCAGTTGATCACCTAGCAAATACCTTCCCCCAAGGGAGAGCCAGCAGAGCGAATGGTTATACAAGCAGATAATAAGCCATGTGCAGTGCAGCAAGGCAGGAGAGACATGAACACACTGCTTTCAGCAGGAAGAAATAATCCACGCCATCAAATGCTCTTGGGATGATTGGTCACTTACACTGAACACTGGGGAGAGAGGTGAGAATGAAAGCTGATCAGAGAGCACCAGAGATACCGTGTGTGTGTGTGTGTGTGTGTGTGTGTGTGTGTGTGTGTGTGCGCGCGCGCGCGCCGTAGTCAGCTGCGTTCAAAGCCTTTCATCGTAGGGGAAAAGTGTGATTGCCTGGCAGCACCCAGGACCCACTTTGAGGTTTGTGGTCTTGAATTTAGTATAAAAACAACTAGTATGGCTGTATGTTTCCTCTGGTCTTATTTAGCTACTGAGTACAAGTTATAGAGTGGTAGGAAGAATTGGATTTAATAGGTGTGCCATTTTCCCAGAGCAGTGCTACTGTGATGGGGGCGAGGTAGGGATTGTAATAGAGGGAAATTAACTGAATGTGTCAGCCCTGCTCCGAACCAGGCCCCTGCTTAGGAGTAGTTAACCAGCACAAATCATACTCCATTGTGTGTGTGTGTGTGCATGTGTGCACTTACATGCAGGCAAAGCACTAATACAAATAAAATAAAAGTAGCGAGACATATAAAATAAAATAGTGAGACATGCTTAAACTCAAGATCTAAAGTCTAAGTTATATTTAGCAAGGTGGAGAAAAAGAGCACTATATAGAGACCAAAGGATGAGTTGTCCGTGTGGATACTTAAACAAAGAGTAAAGAAAGAGTAGAGGTGTCAGGTAAAAAGCCAGTTGCTCAGCTCTTCAGTGACTGAAGGGGAGTGACAGAAAATTGTGGCCCTGGTATTCAGATGGCTAGCCGATCAGTGATTGAATGGGCTTGCCCTTTAAGGGAGGTGTGGTGAGAGGGTGTGGGGTGAACAGAGATCTAAAAGTAGAAACAATAAGCAAGAGGGCCCCTGCTGTCTCCCCATAAGCATACCTAAGAAATTCTAAACTTTATATAAAGTACCAACTTAGTGTTGTCTTTTCTTTAAAACCCATGCTTGGGTGAGGAGCGCCACACTCAGCAGCTGAGGTGAAAGCAAGTTCCGTAGTTTCTAGCGTAATATTGAACCTGTAGATGCTGGCACGGTGACAGTCACCGTGATCCTAGCACCTGGGAGGCCGAGGAAGCAGACCTCAAGT